AATAAGAAACTATTAACAAAGTGAAGAAGAATCGTAGGATACTTGGAGAGGTCAAAGTGTTTTCTAGAGATTTGAAAAATTGGAACCACGTATTTAGCACTTTTTTAAAGTTTATCAAAAATTCTAGATAGTTCCGGAGAACACTTTTTTAAGACTATGATGGAAATCTTGTCTGAAGCACACATTGTAGATGTGTTTAATTGAGAATTAGTTTTAGTATTGGAAGCTAAAGTAATTTCGATGTTTAACAATGGATTAATTTAAAATTTAGCAAAAATATTTTACTGCCAGGAAGAGTATGGCCGTTATATTCCAGAGTCAAACTAGAGTAAGATTTTCTTGTAAATAGCTCTGTTTTACTCTGGGGTAAAGTAAAAAGATAGAGAAAAGAGCCATAAGATAGAGATTAAACGTCAGACTTACTTTAGTTAATAACACTGTTGAAAACTAACCAAAAGTCTCTAGAATCAACATCTAAGATAAGATACAAGGTTTAGTAAACTGAGAATAACAGAGATTTACATCAGACAAGACTTTATTTATACATTAGCTTATTGTAATAATAAAATGGACAATTTTTTCTTAAGAGAGATGTTCTTATAAAAAAACTGAAAAACGTAGTTAATGTTGAAAGATGTAGAGTAGAATGAGGCTTCATTTAAAACTGAAGAAAAGTAATAAAAGCTTCCAAACTTTTATTCCAGAAGCTTATATTGCTTCTGGATGCACTTTTTGCACACATATTATGGATATAAGCATATTTGTTTGCTATTTGTTTAGATGCTGGCATACAATATTCTTTCATTGTTGTATAAACTTTAGTATTTATATAGTGTAGTATTTGCCGAAAGAGAAAATGATCAGATGGATGTGTGGTGTGACTTTAACAAGATATAAAAAGTAGGCATAATCTTTGACAGATTAGAAAAAACGTTGTATCAAACAACTTTTTTTTTTGAAAAAGTTAAAGTAGTTCAGGTATTAACATGTAGAATGGTAGCAGCTTCAGTATAAAATGGTTGTGGTAGATGTAAGAAAATTTGAAGAGTGTGTCTTACATAGTGCAATAATAAAGATAATAAGATGATGATGATTATCATGATGACGATCAACAACATCAACATAATTTTTATTATCATTGTCAAGCTTTCCGCTTTTATGCTGTTGATGATCATGATGATGATGATGATGATGATGATTATGATGATAATGATGATGATGACAATGATGATGATGATGATGATGATGATGATAATGATGACGACGATGATGATGATGATGATGATGATGGTTATGATGATCATGTTAATCACAATGATGTTTATATATGCATATATACAAAAAATATAGCATGAATTTTAAATTTAAAAAATCTATATATATATATAATTTATATGTATATATATATATATATATATATATATATATATATATATATATATATATATATATATATATATATATATATATATATATATATATATATATATATATATATATTTATATATATATATATATGTATATATATATATATATATATATATATATATTCATTTTTACTTTTTAAATTTAATAATAATCATACTAGTTCAATAGCATTTTTTAAACATTTGCTTTTTAGATTGATAATGATACAAGTTTTATTTTTTGATTTAGATTCTGTATCTCAATGATATCCTGGCTTATTGATACGATATCCTGTAAATCCACTCACACATATAAATTTTACTCACACACGTAAATCCTGTAAATTCACTCACACACATAAATCTTAAAAAAGATGTTTATATTTTTATCTATAAATTGTAAATTTTATATAAATAAATTGTATATTTTTTATGTTTTTCATTGTATATTACTATTTGTATTAAAAATTGACTTTGGAAATATTGCAAGTGCAGAGTTCAACATAGAATTTTTTTTTATTTGCAAATTCAATATACATTATAACCAAGTTTAATCACGTTTAATAATATTTTGCGATATTTTCTCCAGGGGAATTGAGTGTTTATTTAACGTTATATTTCAACCTTTACTCGACGTCTTTGAGTCACGTTAAATCGACGTTTTACTACCAACGTTACAAATCTTTGCAAAATCAACTGCTTTAACAACGTTAAAGTAACGCTTTTCAAGTAACGTTTTTTCAACGTTAAGTTGCGGCGCCTATGCAACGCTTTTTAAGTAACGCTTTTTCAACGTTTAGTTGAGACATTTTTGTAACGCCTTTTAGTAACGTTTTTTCAACGTTACGCTACAACGTTTAATCAACGTCTCTTTAACAACGTCACATATCTTTGCAAAATCGATTACTTTGTCAACGTTTCCGCAACATCTTTTGCGACCGGTTTTCAACGTTGATTCAACGCTGACATGTTTGCTGGGATGTAACTAAATATTAAAAAAGGCTTTCTTTCTAAGAAAGGCTTTTTTATAATCTAAGTTCTTTTCGGGGATATTTTCTTGCTTAGATCTTTTAAGTAATTAATAAAAAAAATTATTATTTCAAAATATAAATGTAAACATTTAAATACTAGGGTAACTGAATATTAAATGGCTTTCTTTATCTAAGAAAAATCTCTTTTTATCCATTTCCATAACAAACCAAACTAAGTCTCTCTTTGTTGATATTTTCGCGCATATAGAAATCTATAATTTTAATAAATCTCTAAAAATATCCGTGTCAAATTGCACAAAGGGAATAAAAAATCTAGTTCAATCAGAAAATGAATTAATTTTTTTTTTTTTCTCATTTTCAATTTTTGTAATTTAATTTACTTTTTTAGAATTATATTTGATATAAAATTGAAAGTGTTCGGGGCCCTCTTTTTGCCGGGGCATGACGCTTCATCTTCATTACAGGTGAAGCCGCGCCTGCCTATACACGTTTTTATTTCATAAAAGTTTTTCAATTTTACAATAAGAAATTTTTAATTGTTGAACATTAATTGTTAACTAAAAACAAAGTTTTTGTTTTTTTGTTTTTTACTAAAAATTATTGAATTAAAACAACTATATAAAAAAATAAGTAAAGAAATGGTCTGCGTAGAATAGAAATGCCATAATCTGTATTACGCGGTTCATAGCTAGTTTATTTATTTTAAGTCCACATAATTTAAAGTCCAATTCCAAATATTTTTTAAACTTTTTATACTGATTGTAGTTAATCAACACATTATAAGTGGGTTATCTAAACATTTTTTAGAATAACTACTTCCGGTAGTAATATCCAAAATAACGGTTCGCTCAACAACTACTGTCTAAAACTTTTTAATATTAATTATGCTATAAATTAACTATTTTTTATATAACTTTAAAAAGAAGACAATATGTGTAGTTTTTCTACCGCTTACTAAAAAATATTGAAGTAAAGAACAAGCACAGGTATGGTTGATATAGAATAGACTAACTAAGAATAACTATTTGACGGGTCATAATAGCTAGTACATAATTATTGTGTAAAAAAGCAACAGTATTAGACAATCAATTTAATAAAAACAAAACATAAATAACATCTTGCTAACATTTTATATTCTATTTAATATTTTGTTAATAAAAAAAAACAATTTTATTTCACTATTAATGCTCCAACCATTAAATAAATTTTGGTTAAAATGCTTTGTTAATCCAAATTAATAAAAGAGAATATACTCACCTATATTAACAGTATGACATGGAAAAACTGAAGGATCTACACAACGATCAGCATACGAATCATAAACAAACTCTCTTTTTCCATAACAAGCATTTAATATGACATCCTTAGTGAAACTATAATAACATAAATAATAAAATAAAATAAAGAACTGTGCTTAAACATTTGATAAAATTCAAAGACATCCTTAATTTGGGAAATCCAGCGTCTTCGATCGATGAAGCTGTTGGTTCTGTCGAAACATTTGTTGCATCTTTATACAAAATAAAATAATATTCGTGTTCTAAATTAAAGTCTTAAAAGAGTCGGCATTACTGCGCGTTACTTGGAGAATAGCGTGTTCAGTAGAACTTTTTCTTTGAAAACCAAACTGATTTTTATAAAGAAGTTTATTGTCATTTTTATAAAGAAGTTATTGTATTAAGATAAGTGTACTATCTGTTGTACATCATTTTTTCTAATATTTTTGAAAAGACTGGTAGAACTGAGATAGGACGATAATTTGTTACGTTTGTAGGGTCGCCTGTTTTAAAGATTGAAGTTAATTTTGCTATTTTCAAGCTATCTGGAAAAGATCCTTGTTGTGCAATATTAAAAAAAATACACATTTTTGGCAACAAGTCCAATAAAACAATTTTGTAATGAACAAAAAAAAGTACTGTGTAAATAACATATAAAATAAAGGCGTAAATAACAAAAATTAACTTTAGCTTCATCGTCATTTGATGCAGTTAGTAAAATAAATAAGTATTTTTAATTAGGTATCTCTACTCATTCTTTAAAGCTATACTATAATTTTAATACCTTTTTTTATTTTGTTTGAAGACACCGTATTTTTCTTATAGTTTTATCAATATCTGTCAGCAGCAAATTTTTTCAGATCTGTATAGAGTTAATGTCAAAATCAAAGTTATTTTGGTTAATTTTTTTACCTTTAGCTTTGTCACCATCTTCTATGGTTGGTAAGTTTGAAAACTTTTTTTTTAAATAACTGTGTATAGATTTGTTGGCAAAAACTATGTATTTTTTGTTCTTTAATTATTTATTTTTTACGTTTAGCTTTATCTACATGGAGAACAGTTGGTATGTTAATTATTTATGATTTGTCTATTGTATAATAGTGAGTCTTTTGATTATTGTTTATATCATTACACAAACATTTCTAATATTTCCTTCTTGTTTAGACGCAGGCTTACTATTTCATCAGTTTTTGAGATTCCGTAAGTGATATATGATAGTGATATATAGTGATATGATAGTGATGTATAGTATATAGATGATATGATATATATATATATATATATATATATATATATATATATATATATATATATATATATATATATATATATATATATATATATATATATATATATATATATATATATATATATATATATATATATATATATATATATATATATATATATATATATATATATATATATATTCAATTTTAGGTGACCCAAGAAGTCCTTACGGTCTTATCACAGAGCACCGAGGATGAACATTTAATTGGAAGTTCACGCCTCTTTCCTAACCGATGTTGCAAAACTTGCCCAGAGGTGGGGTTTGAACCACGGATCATTTGTTTCTGAGGCAAGTCCACAAACACTGCTCCACGGCTGCTCTAGATATTGCCACGGCTGCTCTAGCTCTAATATTGATGTATAGGTGCATAGATTCAGGCTTGGTTGGGAAGCGGGTGCAATCGCATTCGATAATTGACCACGGAAATAATATTTAGTTGCGAAAAACTGGCCAGAGTCGTTTTGAGAACATTTTAAAAACAAACAAAAAAGCGCAAGAAGATTAACTAGACCGATGAGAGACAGATAAGAAAAGAAAAATAGCTTTTAACGCGAAAAAACTTTAGGCAAAATAAATACGATTAGAGTCACATTTTTATATAAAGTAAATTTTTTTTATAAAGTAACAACTTACTATTTATGATTGTTTAATAAGGTAACAAATGTTTTGCGATTTATCAAAGAGTATATATAATTTTTATTTATATACTTATGTCTTATTTCCAGTGCTGAATTGAGAAGATGGGGGGGGGGGGGAGGGGAGTAAAAGGATTATAGCCTCAGGACTCACAGTATTAGGGGCCGCAAAATAGTCAAGAGGACCATTTGGTATTTTTTTCAGTCAATTTTACGCAGTGGCACATAAAAAAGGCCGCCAAAATGATGCAGTCCCCGGCCCTGAAAAGTCTAACGAAATTCAACCAATAAAACTAACGCTAGGTGATTTGTTTATTAATAAAAAAGTTTTTTCAATAACTATTTTATTCTTCGCGTATTTTGAAAAGTTTAACACATTTAAAACAAATTTTCTTAGTAAGATGAACAAATGAAATAATTAAATCATTGAGTTAATGTAGAAATTCAATTAGCTAATTAGAAATTAACCAAAAACGTTAAATTACTATGTGAGGAGGAAGCGGAGCTGCTTCATATTCACTAAACATCATCCGCTGATGATGTTTAGTGAATGGGCTTTATAATTTTTATTAGTATTTAAAACAGAAAAAAGAAACTTTAAGTTTAAGTATAACAAGTTTGTAAGAATGGCTGAAGCAAAAATAATTGAAGTTAGTAAACCAATTTCTAAGAACTTAAAAACTTTTCTTTCTTGGGGGAAAGAATCAGTTATCGGGTGCACTGAGGAAAATGGATTAGAGGTTAAATTATTTGTATTAACTTTGATGATAATTAATTATTTAATATTGGAAATTTTGGTTAGTGTTTTTTAAACCAATAGAATTAGTTGTGGCGGGTTTTTTGTGTTTTTTTACTTTTCCGCACTAAGGTTGTTTGAGAACATTCGAGTATATGATTGTTTCCATGAATGTCCGTAAACAAAATATTTTAAAACATACATAAATTTAAATGTTCTCAAAACGACTGAATTATCTGGCCGGTTTTTTGCAACTAAATATTATTTCCGTGGTCAGTAATCGAGTGCGATCGCACCCGCTTCCCGACCAAGCTTGCTAATAGTATAGATATGATTTTGATGTATAGCTGTTTAGATATGATAGTTATGTATAGATGTATAGATATGATAGTGATGTATAGATATATAGATATGATAGTGATGTAAAGTGATATGATAGATGAAAGTGACATATAGAGATGATATAAACAATATAATCTTTAATGTTATTCATAATAAAATAAACATTTTGATGCCTTAAAAGTTTTTAATTCAAAAGATATCTTTTTTAGTCTTTTTTTTATTGTTTAAATCATTATACAACCTTTCTTAATGTTTACTCGTGTAATTATGTTTTCATTATATATTTTATCAATAAAGTTGTTGCTCATTATGCAGAACTTGTTTGATTGTTGTTACTTATTCACTTATTGTTGTCAAATTTAAGGTATTTTGTTAATTTTGTTATACAGATTTCTTGTTAATTTTAATCCAATCAACTCAGCCTTCCACTGGTAAGTTTGAATATTGCAATTTTGGTCATGTTTATTTAAGTTGAAATTTAAAGATGTATGCTTTGGTTTAATTCATATGTTTTTTATCTCAAGTCATTTCTTAAACAACTGTGATTAGTAAAATTAAAAGCTATTATTTTTTAACTTGTAAAAGATTTATTGTCTTTTCATTTTTTTTTGGACAACATCCATTTTTTTTTAGTTCCATTTACATCTGATACAGTTGGTAAGTTTAAATTATTTTTCAGCAGTGTATTGATTTAATACCATTCAACTTTTTTTGTTTATTTGTATATTGCATTTTTTGGTGATATTAATTGCATCTACATCCTTCTTTTTTCCTTTTTTACCTTTAAGCTTCATCGATACCTGCTGCGGATGTCGATGCATTTCTTTTGTTATGGCTATACCATAGATTTAATATCAAATTTAATTTTCTTTTTGACTACAGTTTTTTCTTACTTTTAGTTCCATCAACATCACCACAGTTGGAAAGTTTAAGAGCTATTTTTTTGTTCACTGTATATGTAATATGTCTATGTAAGGCCAATTTCTAATACTTTTTTTCTTGGTTACACCTTTTTTTAATATATATCTGCCACAGTTGCTAATTTTAAAAGCTATTACTTTTTAATCTCTGTAACAATTTAATGCTTAAATCAAATATTTTTTTGGTTGAATACATTCTTTTTTCACAAATAGTAAGTTTAAAAACTAATTATTTTTCAGCAGTGTTTTGATTTTCCCAAAAAAGTCATTTATTTTGTTAATTACATTTTTTTTTTTTTTTTGATTTTTAGTTGCATCTACATCTGCTTTGGTTGGTATGTTAAAAAACTATTTCTTTGTTAGCAGTGCATAGTCTCATTAAAATTATACTATAGATTTAATTCTAATTTCATTTTATTTTTGTTGTTTACATCATTTTTTAACTTTTAGTTCCTGCAGCACAATCTTTTCCTGGTTAATGTATAAATTGAAATATTTCATTATAATTGTTCTTCGTTTTTGAAAAACTTTAATGCTTATTTATCTTTTATAAAAATATTTTATTTTAAATAAACAAAATCTTAATAGAAGTTTTTAATTTTTTTTTGAAAGGTTTTACATAAAATGTTTCATAAGGCTTTCAAATCTTAACTATCAGTGAAATGATGAATTTATACAAACACTTATCTGCAAAACAACTTGAAGATTTAGATGATTAATGTCTGAAAGAATTGTTGGCAGAAAACTTTGTCATGAATGGTATGATACTGACTCATCAAAGTCTATCATTTATGATTGTAGGTTAAAAAAAGTAAACAAGAGGCAAAATGATAGAATTTATACTGTTTCTAACTGGAAGCAAGATGAAACTGATGTTGAAGCTGTCGAGCATAAAATTAAAAAAATCGAGTAGCTGCTGATGTTGTATTAGATGAATTAATATTTTCTTAGTTTGAATATGAAATAATGTAACAATGCTTGAAAAAAAGTTCTGCAAGTTTTGTGGCTTGCAAACAAGTACCGCAAGTTTTGTGGCTTGCAAATAGTTACAGCAAGTTTTGTAGCTTGCAAACAAGTACCACAAGTTTTGTGTCTTGCGAATAGGTACAGCAAGTTTTGTGGCTTATACCACAAAACTTGCTGTACCTTTTTTTGATAAATTTTTTTGATAGATAGCTGTGGCTTACCTTCATGTGGTGTTTATCATTAAAAATGATTTATTTTATTTCATAAATAGAATTCAAAACTTAAATCATTTACTAAAAGCCAAGACAATAGTTAATTACTTTTTTATTTCAAAACTTGCTGCTGTGTTTTTTTTTTTAGGTTGGAGTTCCATTTATATGACAAAATAGATACTCTGATACATCTTGTAACATGGTAAAATAGTTTTTTATACTATTTTATATGTGTTTAAAAAATCATTTTTAAATTTTTTTTGTTAAATTCTAATTAAATTTTTTTTAAGGTACGGGGTAAAAGGGGGGCGGCTTACATCCCCTTCAATGAAGGCAATTTATACACCACTAGTTACTATTTTTCCAAGTATCAAAATATATTTTTTATTTTCTATACTAAAATTAATTGTTTTAGTAAAGACTAAAATATTTAAAAAATGAAATTTTGATAAGGTGTGTTAAACCTTACTCAAGACCCAACACCCGACTTTGAGACCTCTTTATCGTCAGCAGAAGCATGTTGCTCGGCTTATCAATTATAAAGATCGATTTGCTCATGCCAAACCATTATTATTTCAAATGAAAATTCTTAATATTTATCAGCTAAATATTTTTAATATACTTTGTTTTATGTTCAAGTGTAAAACCAACGAATCTCCAGTTTCTTTTCATAATCTATATACCTTAAAAGATAAAAATAAATATAACTTAAGAAATGATAATCAAATTCAGCAACCTTTATCTTTAACTAATTTTGGAAAGTCATGTATTTCATATCGAGGAGCTTTTCTATGGAACAAAATAGTTTTAAAAAATTTTGATTTTTCCCATGAATGGAATTATCTTTCATTCAAGAAAAAACTAAAAGAAATTGTTTTGTCTTTTGAAGACATTTTTTTATATTTTTAAATTCTTTTAAAAATGAATATGAAGTTTATTACATAAGGTAATATATAAATATTATATCTGATCCATAACTTATGTGTTTGTGAAAACAGTACTTTTTAAAATATTTTTGTATTTATATATAAGAGTATCAACAATTTCTTTATTCCAATTTTATTTATATATTATTGCGAAGTTTACGTTCTCGCTAATTTTTAATACGACATTGTTTAGATTTTATACTTCATGTTAATTTAATGTACTTAATATTCACGAGCGGTTCTCGATGATAAGACCTGAAGGTCTTCTGCGAGTCTCCGCGTTCTTTCTTTTTTGTATATATTTTCTTTTATTGTATAACGATTTTTATCTCAACTATCTTATTGTATAACTATATTAAGAAAATAACAAAAAAAAAAAAAAAAAAAAAAAAAAAAAATAGATAGACTATTCGCTAGTGATGTGGAATAAAATAATAACAATTTTTTGTATATAAATATTTGTAATTTTATAATTAAATTTACTTAAGAATGAAAAAATAATTAAAACTAAAAAAACAGAAAATTCAACGAAAAGTGAAAAGCAGAAAAGTAAACACAGAAAACACCATTTTTGGAATGATGAATCGATGATATCAGCAATTAAAGCTGTTAAAAATGGAGATTCACAGCAAGCAGCATGTAAAATATTTGACATTCTAAGATGTTTCTTAGAAGTTTGACTTTCTTGAGTAATGGAAATGGGAGCCAAACCTGGATATCCAACTATTTTAGATAAACAAAAATTAATTGATTTTTTATATAATTGTACAGCTTTAGGATTCAGATTTGGTTGATTGCAATTTCTAAAATATGCTTAAAATTTTGCTTTAAAGCGTAAAAAGCATTTAAGAATGGAACTCCTACAGAAAAATGTGGCGTGGGATTTGCAAAAGACACAAAGATTTAACTTGACGTCAACCAGAAGGTACAGCAGCAATTAGACATCAGTGTATAAATGTTTTTAAAGTGTCATAATATTTTTCCATTCTTAAAAATGTGTTATCAGGAAACAAACTACTTCAGAAATCGCAAAACATTTGGAATATGGATGAAACTGTGATGCAGTTTGATTATCGTCTTGGAAAAATAGTTTCTAAAAAAAAGAGTTGAGTATCTACAATATAGACAACTAGGTAACCGAAAAACAATCAGAGAAATAATTTTTGTCAATGCAATGGGTAACTTTTTTCTTCCACTTTCATATTTATAAGAAAAACTACTAATTCTCTTTCGAGTTTTTAATTTGAAAATGCCCAAGGAGAAAGTACAAGGAGTGTTTCAGACAGTGGTTGGACAAAGCAAGGAATTGTATTTCTATGGTTTACAAAGACATTTCGTTCCGTAAAATTTAGATTTTTATATATGAATGAATTTGTTTACTCTTACAATATAAAAAAGGTCTCGTTTTTTAACTAAAGTTTATTTTTTTGGTTAATACAGAAATTTCAAACTCGGTCCAATTGCCTCGATTCGGAAAATTAGACCTGAACTTTTTACACATACTTTTGATATCTATAAATGTAAATGAATTTGTTCACTCTTACAGTTTAAAAAAGCTCTTTTTCTTAACTAAAGTTATTTTTTACCGTTTTATCAGAGCTTTTTAGCTTAAGAAGCCCTAAGATTTTTACATATTTTCTTGATATTTATAAATGTAAATGAGTTTGTCCACTCTGACAGTTTGAAAAATCTTATTCTTTAAGTTAATTTTTACGGTTTTAACATAGCTTTTTGGACTCGTAGCCCGATTTTCCCTAAAATAGGAAAATGGGTCCTGTGTATTTTTACATTTTTACCTAATATTTATAAATAAAAATTAGTTGCTTTATTCTGACAGTTTGAAAAAGCCCTTTTTTTTTAACTAAAATTTCTAAACTAAAAAAAAGCTCCATTTTTTTATTTAAAGTTAATTTACGATTTTAACAAAGCTTTTATAGCTTTTAATTCAATTGTCCCGAATGGGGTAAACAAGCAGTGGAATCCTTACTTAGAAGCCCCTTATATGAGAATAACAGTTTTTAGAATTGAATGCTTTGATTCTTTGAATTTAGCATAAGTACTTAATAAAACTCCTTCTCATTGATAACCTTTTAAAAACATTTTTTTTAAATCAAAATTTGGTACCATAAATCCTAAAGGAAAACTCAACAAATCTTGTCGCAAAATAGGCGTTATTGGGCCCAACATAAACTGCCATAACTTGGGAACCAGTTATCCAAGTTTTAAAAACGAACTCATTCTGAAAACTTCTTTATTATCCACAAACTTTGGTATAAATTATAACAAGAGATAATGATAATAGTGTAATAACTGAAGTGCCTATTAGTAATAAATGGAACTAAAGCATTTAAAATAATCGACACCACCTTAAAGGTAAGCCAGAGTCGTCTATCAAAAAAATTTGCCAGCCACAAAACTTGCTGAACCATATTTGCAAGCCACAAAACTTTCGGTGCTTTTTTTGCAAAGCATAGGGCTTGCAGTAACTAATTTGCAACCTTCAAAACTTGCGGTACCTATTTGCAAGCCACAAAACTTGTGGTGCCCATATGCAAGTCACAAAACTTGCGATATCTATTTGAAAGCCGCAAAACTTGCAGTACCTATTTGCAAGCCACAAAACTTAGAAATAACAAAGCAAAAAGATTTTATTATTATATTATTATTATAAATATAAACATTTTTTTTTATTTATATACTAAGATAAATTTACCCCAATTTAAATTTATTATTTAATCATGTTTAAATTTTAAACTTACTAGCAGAAGGAATAAATGGGAATAATGAAAAATAAAAA